CCCTATCCCTATCCCTATCCCTATCCCTATCCCTATCCCTATCCCTACCCCTACCCCTATCCCTACCCCTATCCCTATCCCTTCCCACCCTCGTACCCCATCCCTGCACCCGATCCCATCCCCACTCCCGCTCTCTCACACCCCACACCCTGCACCCTACCCCTATATGGAATGGGTCCCACACCCCACTCTCTCCCCCTCCCCTGCTCCCATTGCTGCCCCATGTCCCCTTCCCAGCATCATCTCAGCCACGCACAGCTTCACCCCGGTGCTGTTGGTGGCGCTGGGGACAGAGGGACGCGACCCGAGGAGATGGCGAGGATAGAAGTGACCACACAGAGATCCCAAACGACCACATTTATTGGGCAAAAAAAGATCACCCCATTATGACACATCTGCACTGCAGACCCTTCAGGGGTCACTGGTGACATGGGACAGCGTAAGGAGCCAGCCCTGCCCACCCCACCCCACAGCTGTGCCCCCGTCCCCCATCCCAAGCCCACAGAGGTGCATGACAGCTGTGTCCCCACTTCCCCGTTGCCCTGGGCCAGCCAGGCCGTGCCCCGTGGGGCTGGGAGCAGCTTCACACCTGTGTGATGATCTCGCCGTTCTCAGGCACGTAGACCTGCACAGGCACCCCGGGCGGGGAGCGCCGCAGGATGCGGATCGGGGCTGCCTGAGTGGGAGAAGGGACCCGTGGGTGCTGGGACCCCACCCTGTGCCCTGGGGACGCGGCCCCACTGGGAAGTGGTGGGGCTGTCCCAACCTGCCCCACATCGGTACTGCTGTCAGGGCCCCAAAGGTGGCTACAGGGACCCCCTGCTGACCCCCACCCTCCCCCAAACGGCCACGTTCTGGCCCCAAAACATCTACAAGGTGCCAGTGCTGGCAGTGGGACCCTAACCCTGCCCTTGGGACCCCCCTGAGATCCCCTTAAAACCAGCTCCCGCTCCAATGACCTTCCCACCTCTATCCCAACACTGTGAGGTCCAACACTGCCCCAGGGACCATTACAGGTCCCCAGTCTTGTCCCAGGGGCACCTCAGGACCTTGCACTCAGGGGACCCCCATGGAACCCACCAGAGCCACTGCTGGCTAACAGCTCACATCATCCCCGCACCCGCAGGGCAGCACTCAGGGGGTCCCCACAAAGTGACAGCCATCCCATCGCCCCCCACCCACCCCTCCCTCCCCATCCTCGTGCCTTACCTGAGCCCTCAGCGGTGCCCCACGGAGGGGGGGTCCATCCTGGGGGTTCCCACAGCGGTGTCCCCGGAAGGCCCCCTGTCTGTCGAGGGAATGAGGCCGGGCTCCCCGCAGCCGGGCACGTTGGTGCCACGATTTGAGCTCCTCCGTCACCGCCGCTTTGGAGAGCCCACGGGACCCCCCTGGCACGTAGTCCTTAAGCGAGGGGGTGCGCACGATGCGGCTGTGCGAGGGCACCAGGCGTTGGTAGCGCAGCGGGGCCAGGTCCTGCTCATAGAGGAACAGCGGGGGGCCGGGGGGTGGCAGGAGCCGGGGGGCCCCGCGGGGGTAAAAAGCGGGTTCGGTGCAGGGCGGTGGGGCTGGGGGACGTGGGAAGGAGACGTCGGGGCTGCTGCTGCCCGGGGAGGTGGCGTGGGAGACGCTGGAGACGTCGGAGATGCTGTCGTCGGAGCCGGAGCGCGGTGTGGGGCTGGGGGCCGGGGGGCAGGAGGTGGGCACTGTCACTGTGTAGTACGTGGGGCGGCGGCGGGGAGCTGTGCTGCGGCCCCGCGCCTCAGCCGGCTCCCAACGTGAGTCCACCCTGCGGGACAAAGGCTTGCCTTCATCTTTGTCCCCCCAGAAGTATCGCAATCCTCCTCGTAGGGCCGTCGCCATTATCTTGTGGAGTTCGCTCCATCTCCTCCATGGGGCTTCCTCCTCTCCACGGGTCATCTAGATGGAGCAAGCTCCATCCTCCCTTCCATGGGCCTTATTCCTCGCCCCATGGGTCATCTCTATCTTCCCCTTGGGTTATCTCTATCACTGTGGGTTACCATCTCCAACCTCTCCGTGAGTCGTCTCCAACCACCCTACAAGTTTCCACCTCCATCCTCCCCACGAATTATCCCCATCCTCCCTGTGGGTTATCTCCCCCCCCCCGCCATGGGTGCCAGCAGCCCGTCCCCACTCACGGCACAGCCGTACCTCAGGGACTGGCACTGTCCACGTCGGATCGCTGGCTCTGGGGTGCTGGGAGCACTGGATCCCATCTGCCTGCACAGCACCACGCTCCGGACGGGGATGAAGCGATACGGGGCCACGTCCCCAGCCCTGCAGTCAGGGCTGATGGGGACAGAGGTGACAGCGGGTGGGGACGTGGGGCAGCACCGGGATGCGCGGGTTTCCCCATCCCCAGGCTCAGCACTGATGCTCTTGGCCTTCCCGTAGGGTCCATCGAGGCTGGTCTCCCTCCAGGGGCCGGGGGGTGCAGAGGGGCACCCCGGATCCTCACTCTGCTCCTCAGGGGCCAAGCGGGGCCACGGGCACGGCGACGGAAGGCGCTGCGGGGTGCCGGCTCCCATCGGCTGCTCCTCCTCTGCAGGACAGACGGAGCGTTGCGGTGGGGAGGGGCGGGATGCGTCCCCCGTACCCACAGCCCTTACCCTCCTCCAGCAACGCAGCGTCCGACAGCGAGCTCTCATCCGACGCGCTGAGCTCTGCGGGGACAGCGGCGCACAGCGGTGTGCCACGGGGCACCGCGCTCCCACGGCCGCCACCCAACGCGTCCCCGCTCCCCTCCCCCGTCCGCCTGTCCCGACACGCTCAGGGACGGCGGCGGGACCGGCTGGTCCGGCTCACAGGAGCGCTCCGGGCAGCTCCCAGCCCCGCAGCCCTGCCCAGGCTCTGCCGTGGGAGCGGGGTGCAGCCCACGCTGGGGTGCGAACGCAGGGGAGAGAGCATTGGGGCGCGCACAGTGGAGCGGTGCAGTGCTGGGGTGCATCCACGAGGGTACAGCCGCAGAAGGAGGAGAGCTGGGGCGCAGCCGTGGGGGTGGTGCATCCACCACTGATGGAGTTTTGGGGTTCGCAGGGGAGGCACATCGGGGTACGCTCCCCGTGGGCAGAGAGTGCGCTGGGGTGCATCCACCAGGGATGAAGCTTTGGGGTGCTCTCACCAGCTGCACCCGTGTTTGGGGTGCGCTCCCTGGGGTGGGAGACCGGGGTGCACCCACGCGGAGGAGCAATTTGGGGGGCAGGTGGCACAGCACTGGGGACCCGCAGCTACGCACATCCCTTCCCCCCCAGAAGGAAGCCCCCCGTTCTCACCCTGAGCCCCCCCGGTGCCACCAGCAGACAGGGCCCGGCGCTCGGCCAGCAGGGTGTCCTCCAGCGCCTTCAGCTTCTGCTCCTCCTTCAATGCTGCCGTCTTCCTCCTGCGGCGCAGCTGTTTGCTGATGTTCTCCTCCCGGCACAGGCGATGTGCAGCTCTGGCAATCTGCATCTGCAGCGCCAGGTCCCGTTCCAGGGCGCCCAGTGGGTCCTAGGGGTGGGGGAAGGGGACACTTGGCACCTCCAAATGTCCCCCACCCCGAGGACACCGCGCACTGCTGGGCACTTTGCATTGCTGCACCCCCTGCGCCCTTTGCAGTGCACCTCCGTGGAGGTGGGGATGGTGAGGGGTGCCCCATAACTGCTCATCCCTTTGTGGGTGCCCCATGGGTGCAGCCTCTGCCCCCCCCGCTCACCGCCCCGCGCAGCACCAGGCTCTCATCCAGCTTGAAGGCGGCCCCGATCCTGCGCCGCACCTTGGGGGGCTTCTCACCGGCCTTCAGGGGGAACTCTTGGGGCAGCGTCCCCGTCAGCTCCTGGGGATGGATGTGGGGACACTGAGCGGTGACAGGAGATGGGGGAGGGGGGGTTGGCAGGGTCCCCCCGTCTCCATTCTCACCGCCTCACGCAGGCAGAGCCGCCGCAGCTCCTGCACACACAGCTCCAGCGCCTGCTGCTGCCTGCGCACCCGCTGCGCCAACTCCTTCAGCGGGGCCGTGGGGCTGCCGGGGCCTGGATGGACGGACGGACGGACAGATGGAGGGGCTGAGCTGTGGCCGGATCCCCCTCCCTGCCTCCCACACCCCCTGAGCTCCCAGTTTTCCAGAGCTCTGCACTGGGACGGGCGCTGCTGGACCCACGGGAGCTGTGCTCACTGCTCACCCCTCTCACACTGCACGCAGCAGTGATTTCCCAGCACTGGGGGGGGTTCAGGGGGGACCATTTCACATTGACTCAGCCCAACCCGCAGTGAAACACCACTGAGTCACATCAGACAGGGTCCCCCCGCTCTCCAAATGGGGAACCCCCACATTGCCCAACAGCAAATTCTCCCCCTCCAACGGCAGCACCCCAGTTTGTCCCTCCTGCCGTGCCCCTAAAAGCACCCCAGGAGAGGGCACCCATCACACCCCGGGATGCAAAACCCCTTTTTGTCCCCCAGCGCTCACCCAAATGCAGCATGATCGCACTGCCGGAGTCGCCCGCCTCCTCCCTGCCCTCCATGCTGGGTACCTGCAGGGAGCAAGGTGAGGCCGTGTTTGCTTTGCCTTCTCGTAGGTCCTACGATAAACAAAGGTGTGCAAACACGTGCCTGCCAGCCTGGGCTGCCGGGCTGAGCCCCGTCCCAGGGGCAAAGGTGGTGGGGGTGCGGGGCCGGTTTCGCTGGGTGCCTCTCCCAGTTTTTATTTCTTTCCTGTCTGGGCCGCAGGCGTTTTCCTGGGGTGGGGGTGGGAAATGTGACCGTATCCCCCCGCCCGGCGTTCCCATCCCTTGGGGCCCAATGGGTGGGATGGGGTCAGCCATGGCGTTGCATTGCCTTCGCCCCCCGCTCACGCTATGCCTCAATTTCTCTAGCAGGAAGGTGAGCACATAGGGACACTGAGGCAGAAAAGGGGCTGCCAGCACCGGTAAGGGGGCGGCAGAAGGGCTGGGACCCCCATGGGCATGGGTTTCAGTGCGGCCAAGTGCTGCCTTACCTGGGTGCCAGCACGGCGGGGCCGTCAGCACGGTGCTCGCTGCCGCTCTGCTGCGCCCGGGATGCAGGGACGTGTTTTGACTTGAGAGCAGGGGAGGAGCAGGTGAGCAACACAGCCCCCGCAGGGCCTGCACGGCGCGGCACAACTCGGCACAGCGTGGCGGGGAGGAGCGTGGCACAGTTTGGCACAGTTTGGCACGGCACGGTGCAAAATGGCATGGCGTGGTGTGGTGTGGCACAGTGTGACACTGCATGATGGCGCAAAAATGTATGGCACAGCACAGCATGGCCCCAGGCCCTTGGCACTGCCCCTGTCGTGCCCGTGGCCCCAGGCTGGGGATTGCATCCAATGGGAATCCATCTCATCCCCAAAGCACAGCCACCGCTGTGCCCTCCCAACATGGGGGCCTGTCCTGCCAGTCCCTGTCCTGTGCTCCATTCTCTCTCCCAGTCCTGCTCCCTCCCAGACTTCCATGTCGTTGGAGGAAGCACTGACCCTCATCCTCCTCCAGGGACAAACATGAGGATGAGAAGGGAGGATGAAAGGGAAAAGGAAAGAGAAAGGGTGAGGAGCAAAGAAGGCAGCTCCGTGTTGTGCTGAGCTATGGATGGATGGAGGGATGGAGGGATGGATGGATGGAGGGATGGAGGGATGGAGGGATGGAGGGATGGAGGGATGGAGGGATGGAGGGTTGACCTCTGCTGCTGCCCATCCTGCTCTCACTGCTCAGCACAGTGCCTGGGCTACACCAACCTCGCCACCTGGCTGGGAAACCCCTCATCTCTGTGTACAGTTCCTGTCTCCACCTCCTGCTGTGGATGAAGAGCAGCTCTTCGTGTGTATTCTGGTGTCTCCAGGCCCCCCACTGGGTTTGGCACTATCTTGGGCTGGGTGAAGGGGCCATGTCCAGGGTGAGGGAATTGCTCGCATCACCCTCTGGAGTGAGAGCAGGGTCAATGGGGAGGGGGCTAAAGGGCGTGGGGTCACTTGGCTTCGGGGCCACAAACAGACAGGGTCACCAGGAGGACCTGAGCTCTCCTTGGAATGGCATCACATGGGGTTATCACGATGGAAGGGACAACCTGAGACAAGGCCCCAGATGTTGCCCCTCCCACGGCACCCTTTGAGTGCCTCCAGCACCCCCCGGGCTCCTTATGCCCACGACCACCCCGAACTCCCCCCACCCCTCAGCGAGACCAGCAGCGGGGTGGGGAAAACACGTTCGATAGGCGCTCGATTGAGGCCGCCTGCTCCTTGCAGCCCAACCCACCCTCCTCCCCGCCTCCATCGGCGCTCGGCTGCCCGCCCCGCAACTTCCGGTGTCGCGTTGGCGGAAGTGCCCGTGCGCATGCGCAGTGTGCGCGGGGCCGGGGCCGCGCTGAGTGCCCCCGGTGCCGCCATGCCCAACGGTGAGTGGGGGGCGGGGACCGGGGGGGGGTCCCGGGAGGGGTGAGGGGTCGTTGCCCCGCGGGACGCAGCTGTGCCGCCCGCAGTGTATTCGCTGGACGGGCTGCTGGTGTTCGGGCTTCTGTTGGTGTGCACCTGCGCCTACCTGAGGAAGGTGCCGCGCCTGAGGGCCTGGCTGCTGTCTGAGAAGCGCGGCCTGTGGGGCGTCGGCTACAAAGGTGAGGGGGGATTGCGGGGGGGGCTGCGGTACGGGATGGGAGCGGAGGTGTTGGGTTCTGACGTAAAGGATGTGGGGCCGGGATGGGAGCGTGGGGCTGGGCTGTGGGTGACGTGATGGAAGTGGGGTGTTGAGGTCTGGGATAAGGAACGCGGGACTTGGGTGGGAGGTGGGGACACTGGGACCGGGGTGGGGACGTGGGGGTGGGATGGAATGGGGGTGGTGGTGTTGGGGGCACGAGCTGGGCTCGGGCATGGGGTGGAGGTGGTGGCATTGGGGTGTGCTGTAGGTTGGGATGTGGAATGGGGACGTGGTGGGCATGACTTGGGGCACGAGATAGAAATGGTGGGACCGGGATGGAGGGACAAGGGGGTCTGGGATAGGGGTGCAGAGGTGGGGTGGTGGCACGGGATGGGGACAGGACAGTGCTGGGACAGCCGCTGGGTGCTGCCCAGCACAACTCCCTGCTACCGCTCTGCAGCTGCCGTCATTGGCACACGGCTGCATGTTCCTGTGGCCATCTCCTGTGTGCTGATGGCCTTCTACGTCCTCGTGGTGAAGTGACCCCGCCAGGACCCCGTGGCAGCCACTCTGAGTCCGCCTCGTCCCAGTGCCCGCTGTGGGGCAGCACCAGGTGTCACCATACACCGTTACTTGTCAAGGATGGGAAGATCCCAGTGCCCACCGGCCCCCTCCCCGTGGCCATGGGGTCCTGGGAGCTGGGCCAGCAGCCAAGGACCCTTCCTCGTGTGCGGGGCCGCGTTTCGGTGCCCCGGTGGCCGAGCGGCGGGGCTCGGCGTGCCAATAAACGCGCTCTATCCATCGCCATCTCCGCTCTCGCAACCGGGGCTGGGGGGAAAAGGGGGGGGGCTGCGCCGCGGTCCTCCCTCCGGCAGGAGGCGCTGTGCGGAGGGGCGTGGCCGGGCGGTGGTTCCCAGCGTGCCCCGCGCGGGGGAGGCTATAAAAGGGCGCGACGGGACGGAACGAGCGGAGAGTGGTTGCAGCGCTGTGTGTGTGCGCGGGTGGAAGGGAGTTGAGTGCGTGCGTTTGTGTGCGTGGTGTGAGCGTGGTGTGAGCGCGTGCCGCCCTCTCCCTACACATTGATCTTATTCGATCGGCCCCGGCCGAGATGAGAAGAACGGAGCCGCGAAGCCGCTGGCGCTGTGCGGCGGGCGGGCGGGATGAGTCGATCAGATAGGCGAGGCCTGGCCCCGGCCGGCCCCTGAGCGCAGGCGATTCTGATCCGCCCGCCGCCCCCAACCACGCGGCCGCGCACTCAGGCCGGCTCCGCTCCGCGCTTTATTGCGGGGTCCTACGGGCAGAAGAAGCCGCCGTTCTCCTTCCGGGAGTAACCGCCGTTGGTGGCAGCGCTGTGCGGGCACTCTGCGGGGGGAGGGGGCAGCGGCTCAGCGCGGTGCGGCCGCAGCCAGCCCCCCCTGCCCCTCCCCCACTGCCGTGTCCCGCTGCCCCCGAGCTTGGGCCGCCGACTCCTCCCCCCCCCCCACCCGTGACACGCAGCCGTGCCCCTCGCCCGGTGTCCCGGTGCCGTACCGATCCGTCCCTGGATCCGATGCACCGATTCCTTCCTGGGGCTCGCCCAGCTCCGCGGCCACGGCTCCGGGGGCCGTTCCGGCTGTGGGGGGGCCCTGCACGGAGGTAGAGGCTGAGCCACCGCAACGGGAGCGGGGCGGGGGAGGAACGCATCGGACACTCACTGGTGGTCGCGGCTGCACCGCGCGGCCGTGGCGTGGAGACGGCTCCAGGGCCGGGGGGGAGCTGGCGGGGTCGCGCCGCCGCCTGCCATAGCGGGTCCGGTGCTGCCGGCGTTGCCGAGGAACCGCCGCGGGGCGGGGCCGAGGGGGGAGGGGGCGGCGGGGAGGCACGGCGGGGGGAGGGGGAGGGGTGCAGCTCCCGGGGTGATGCCCGGTGCCGGGGTCACGGCGATGGTCCCGGTGAGCGCTGCCCGGCGCCGGTTCCGGTGCCGAAACCGTTTCAAAGGGGTGACGCCCGGTGCCGCCCCCGAGGGCGATG